CCCCCACCCTATCCTCCCCCCCCCTACCTACCAACCAATAGGCTACGAGCCTCACCTTCATCTAGTTAAAACCCCTCCTAAATATTGTAGCTAGAAACAACCTACTTAGATACTTGTAGGCCTAAGAACCCTACACGTCTTATATAGCCCTTCGGGCTGAAAAAGGACGTTAAACTAGAATAATAATAATAATAATAATAATACACCACGCTACCATGATAGCACTGCGACAACGCGCCACATACTACATGTGAACTGTGAGAATGGGTCAAGGAGAGTCGCATGAGGCGCCTCGGTTGACACTGGGTATGTACACAAAACGACGCTTTCTCCAAGACCGTGTACCAACACTGCATACACAGAGCAGCTCTCACACACCATCGCCGAGCGATTCGCGCAAAAATGCTTCACGCCACTTGAACTCTACTGCTTCCACTCTGTGTTCCGCTCACTGGCCGACACGCAATCTGGGGTGCACTACTGGAGCGAAGCAACACTATGTCGGTTCCTGGAGCTGCCTGACGTGCTAGGCGTGGGCTCCGTCGTCTTCCAGATGGCAAGCTACCTAGGCGCTTTTCCGCTGCCGAGCCAGGCGCCGGCGATACTGACGCACAATGCGCTGCTCAAGGTGGTGACTATCCTGACGGAGCGGTATGGAGCTGTGGTGAAGAAGAGGGGGAGGGAGATTTGGCTGCGGGAGATTTATCGCAGCCTGGCGATTTACGACAAGGGGATTCGGTCGAGCGTTGAGGAGAGAGAGAAGGAGATGGCGAGAGAAGAGGAGGAAAAGAAGAAACGGGGTGGAAATCTGGGATTTGCGATTGATGCGCCTGACGAAGGGGAGCAGGACAGCGATGAGGATGACGAGGATGACGAGCTGGTGCTGGCTGCGCTGGAGTCGATGGACGCGATTGACGTGTTCAAGCATGGGGAGCAGGCAAACGTGCATCACTCGATTATTCCGACAGATAACTTTCTCAAGCTCGTGGAGCTGTTGCTGCTGATTGCGCCGATTGATGCGCAGCAGAGCCTCGCGACACTGGCCCCGGATTTGTCAGATGAAAGAGTTGCCGAGCTGCGACAGGCGGCGCATGTCATACTGGCGTCTTTTGGCGTTGAGAATCACCCGGGCGTTACGTATCGCACTTTCGACACGGTTGTTTCCACTTCGCTGCCATATCTGTTCAACGGTCTCAACCCGCTGTTTGAGCACTTCCTTTTTGCAAAGGATTTCGACCTCTCCAAGCGCAAATCTGGGGCTGCGTCGCCCACCCAAGAGACCAAACCTGTTATACCGCCGCCGAAAGTGGAACTAGAGCCAGTCTTGCGGGATTCGGGCGAGATCCTCAACTTGACTACGTTAAGTCAGTTGTCATTTTTCATCAAAGGCAGTAATCTTTTCCGACGACTGCGGCCTCTATACAGCGGCAACACGCACGGATTCAGCATGGGCTCGTTCGAGAAACAAGTCTTCAACTGGCGCGCGCCCACGATTCTGCTCGTAAAAGGCCGTCTGTTGCCTGTGACTCCGTCCAGCACACGCGAACGCGCATTACAAGATATGCTGCCGCCCAGGCGCCATGGCGATAGCATCACTGCTGCCTCGCCTAACCAGACGCTCATCTACGGCGCTTACATCTCCTCGCAGTGGAAACACACAGGCAAGACGTGCTTCGGCGACTCTTCAACCCAGCTCTTCCAGCTCTCGCCCACACACGATGTCTTCACCGCATCGGCATACAGCTCAGACTACGTGTACTTCAACAAGTCGCCCACGCACCCCGCGGGCATTGGCCTTGGGACCCCCATCCCCGCTCAATCCGCTTCTTCGTCGTACTCTTCGCACGCCGTGTTTCGACCGGGCGCCGTGTCGCTGCATCTCGACGATGCGCTGGAATTCGCTATCTTCACGCACATGGCTGAGGGCGGGGGCTCATTCCACCCGTCGAGGCTTCCAGGCAGGAAATCAAAAGACTGGCAGGATCGGTTTGAGATTGAGAGCCTCGAGGTTTGGGGCTGTGGCGGTGACGACGTCGCGGAGCAGCAGAGGAGGGAGTGGGCGTGGCAGGAGAGAGAGGCTGAGGCTAGGAGGAGGATCAATCTGGGGACGGGCGATAAGGATATGGATAGGGAATTGTTGAAAATGGCAGGGATTATTGGGGGAGAGAGAAGTGGTGGGAGTATGTAAGCTGGGGGAGTTACGGTCTGTTCATGGGAGGTAATTGCGTTACGAAGTAATGATGTATATAAAGCATAGTTATAATTTGCTGGGATGAATGAGTTAGTTCAGCCAGACTGAAATTCCAGGGTGCTTGTTTGCATGTGGTATTTGAGTGGTGCAATCATGTTATTACGATGCCGTCTCAAAAAAAAAAGAACGCCCTGTAGTGCTTCTTGCGCATACATATCGTACAGCTTCTTCTCGTCTATTCGCATACTCCCCCCAGTCATTGCTCATATCCCCTCTTCCCTTTATCCTTCATCCTTCGCCCACCCACCCCAGCATTGACGATTTCGCTTTTTTATCCTTGCCTACACAACCCATTAGCACATCTCACCACTACCCATTCCCGCACCTATGTGCATAACCAAAAAAAAACTCACCTCTGCTTATGCTTTGGATTCTTGGAGCAAATAATATACACATATCTGCCCTTCTTCCGCCGCACGCTCTTGCACCCATCACACAGTTTCTTGACCGAACTCCGCACTTTCATCCCCCGCGTTTGCATCCTGCTGGCACCGCTGCTGCTGCTGCTGACGCTAACGCCCAGCCCTTGGAAGCCAGACACCAATTCTCTGATAAGCGGGGGCCGCTGCGAGGCGAAGCGTGGAGAGAGCAGCGTGGGCCGCACACACCCGCATGTGGGTGTGTGCATGTGCTGCGTGCGGGTGCGTTGGAGGGTTTGGCGCGCGGAGAGCGCGCGGCGGAGGGGTAGCGCTAATGCGCGGGATAGCAGCATTTCGGCTGATTGTTCCTTTTTTCTTCTCTCTCTTTCGATGGGAGGCGGTGGATGGTGGCCGGTGGGTGCCCGCGAGATAGGTGGGCGATGCCGGGCGAGGTGCGTGGTGGTGAAGGTGGTGAAGGTGTTAGCGCCGCCGCGGCGGAAAATATGTGCCAAGAGACTAGTGCCCGTCGGGGGAGACTCGCTCTTCGCAGTTGTGACATGAGTGTAGTCTGGTATTTCGTTTTTTTTATCATTCTTTTTTCATAAAAGTTGATATCTCCTACTAGTTTCATGTCGGCATTGTAAATTTTTTGCTGTTGGATCAAATTGTGAACGGAATTCTGTGCAAGGTATTGTGCATACTTACTGTCGTCGTGTAAGTAGCAGAGCTCACGAGTTATCCTTTCGGGTCAAGTAGATTTCAGATAGCTATCGGAGTGAGATCAAAGCAACCAACTCCCACGTTGAAAGTCTTGTTTCAGCTACGAATTCCATTTTTCTGCCTATCTACCGATGCCTGGTGAAGCCCTGTTTCCCATCTTCCTTCTGCCCTGCAACACCCCCCATTCATGCCACAACATGTTTTACCAAAGGCCAGCGATCCTAGTCCTTATTCCAGATTTCTAATTCCCATATCTCCAAAGTAAAAGCCCTGTCCGATTCCCATAAACCTAGTGATCCATAATAAGTTTTGATGTTGCATGTGTGGATCTGGCGCTTGGCTGTGGCGTGTTTCGGATCGTATTTCCAAGATATGATGCAATGAAATCCAGCAATGTAACCATGTATCTATGCCCGTTGGCTATAAATACGTGGTACAGCTAGTTCCAGCCACTCCAACGCTATTCTTAGCTCACAGCCACTGTCATGTCCCGTAAGAAATCCGCGCTTTTTTCTTCAACATGTCATGCTAGCAGCATTTGAATCGGCCCAATCGCTTGGTAGGACAAACATGACACATGCCGAGCTAGCATATATCATGATTTGAGTTCCGTGTCCGCACCGGCGCCGAGTAAAAGTTTGATTATATCCAAATCCCCACGTTCAATGGCGACATGCAAAGCCGTCATCCCTAGCATATTAATGTCGTTAACATTAATGTTGTTCCTTAGTGCGAATAGAACTAATGCTGAACTTCCTGACTGGACGGCCAGATGTAATATGCTGTTTCCATTGTCATCGATGACGTAGACGTTAGCACCATTCTCGGCCAGAAGTTTTGCGACGTTAATTTGGCCTCTGCTAATCGCCTTTTGAAGCGCATTGAGTGGTGTAGAATTAGGTGATATTGCTGGTTGCGCGAGCAAAGGATTCTGGCCAAAGAAAATATCAGTCCATGTTGCATACAGTACGGACAAGGGCCTCACATACAGCCGAGTTCAAATCATTGTCTAAATCTGTCCATTGTGTGTCAGACAACCTGGTTCTCCAACGTATTGAGCCGCTGCATTACTTACTCTCTTGTGTTGAACATATCAGAGAGAAAGCGTCGAGGTCCTCAGAATTTAGCGAAAGGTCCGGGAAATATGAGGTCCCTAGCATATCGGGCCAACAATTATTGAAGGTAGTCGAGCCTTGCGAAGCCGCAGTCATGTTTTCGAGTGAGCCTTCCGATGATGAGTTACTTGGAGATGCATTGGAAATAGCCGATTGCATTTGGAGAGCTTGTTGTTGTATTGAGTCTTGCGAGCAAGATGCAAGCGCCTTATTGATTTCGTCCAGTTGCTGCTGTCGGAGTTTGATGTTTCGTCCTGGTATCACGTTAAACGACAGAAGATCATAGATAATAAAGAAATACGCACGGTAGTTGCGCTGAGCAATTCTGTTCTGAGCCCGCCGCCTCTCTGCAGCATCGGTAATTCCCCTCCAGTCATTGTCATCACTGACTGACGGCCGCCTACCAGTCTGTTCTGTTGACATTGATAAGATATGTGTATATTGAGCTCTATAATAGAGAATTGTAAGGATCAAGGATACACTGGCGTCTACAATGACTCGATGCTGGTTGTTTAAGAACGCTCGTTTCTATGCGAGTGGGTTTTGGAAGATTGGTTTGAAGTCGCGGGCAGTTTCCTCCCATTCAATGGAAACCTATCCTTTAAACATGCTAGTTTCCGGTACAAGCTCGGACGAGCCTCATGGTGTCTAAGGGGAAAAGGAATATGCTGCAAGTGGAAACCGGACCGTACACAGAAAGTCCGCAGTACCACCGATCGGCTTTCCCATAGCAACAAATCGCCCATTTCCCCACAACACGCGTCCCGCCCGACCCGTCCGCGCCCCGCACGCTATATCCCTGCCTTAGCTGGCTGGATTTGAAGTCAAAGGCTTCGTACAGTAATATCTCATTGCGGTATCCACCACTGTTCCGAATTGCTCTTCTCTTCAGCGCATAAATCGCTCACTAGCAGGCCACGATTGTAACGTGGCATATTGCTACAACCTTCTCGTTGGAGGCGGGGCGGCATCTCGGTACTCGGACAAAAACAGACCCAACATGAATAACAACGCTGTACTCTTTGCGTGCGACGCATGACTAGATTCGATTGGCAGGGTGTGTAGTATAGCTGGTAGGTAGTGGAGTGGATACCAAATCTTTTAGTAAGATCGGTTGAGTATTGCTGACTCGGTGCTGCAGGACTATAACTTCGACGAGCAACATCATAGCCAAAAAGTCGGGAGCGGGGCCTTTCTTTAATGTAGTGTTTCAGGTCGCACTGCAAAAATGGACGAGGGAGTACAATTTACAGTTCGCTGGAAACGGTCTCTTCAAACTGCCATGTCAGCATTCTTTGTAAGTAAAGATATGCGATACAGCCCAACGTATATCCTGGAACATACACAGGTAAGTTTATGCAGAATCTAGTAGAACTGCATCGATCGCAAGTGTGATGCAACAGCGTATTCATGTGGCCCTGCTGGCAAGCGATTCAGAATCACACCAGGGCTGTATTAAGTTACGAGCTTACCACACGCGCTCCATCCAAACACCTCTAGAAGCGGGGATAAAAAAGCAAGGCAACTATAACGACAGTGTGACAGATCGACCAGCGTATAATATTGCTTTTCCAACCAAAAGAGTTAATACGGTCGATACAGAAGAAGCCGTCAGGATTTTGCAGTGGCTGAACCGAAGAGCTACTGGTGACTGTCATCTCCCAAGATGAGAGCTGAGGCTGTTGGCCTAAAAAATAGAGGTATCTCTTGTCGTCTCCTCGCCTTCGCCACAACTCACACAAAGCAAATCTTACACGGCGATGTCATCACCATCCTCGGCCGTATTGGCCGAAACAATAAATGTTTTTATGTTCACATGCTGACACGAAGCCACATGTCGCATAGCCATCATAGTTAGTCAGATCGACCGTCCTCAGCACACTAGAAGCGGCATACGAAGCAGTAGAATTACTCGTCAAAGAAAGCCTTGTCGTATTTTCTTTAAGGTCACGACCTATGTGAGAGCGGTGATGTCATCGGCATCACGGCCCAATTACAACAAGCTCAGTGCCTGAGAGCCATACGGATTTCAGAATTGCATGTTCTACTGAATTGCTGCATTGGCTTAGTAAAGCTTTTGCTGGCTTTCTACGGGCTTATACATACCGTCTGCTTCTAGTGTATTGCTGTGAGCTGGCCATCACCAGTTTGAAGTACATCACAGCTATAATTATGGTGAATGCACCACGTCGAGTCATGCTCGGCCGCTGCATATGTGCATGATGGCACTGCGGATCATCTCCGAATGGCTTCCTGCCGTTACACCATGTATTATTGTATCCACTATAGGTGTACAGGGCCTTCCATTCCAGCTACTACGGGCTTTCCATGGCCAATATAACTCTCACGCCTAAAGATGCTCAGGGCACTTTTGGGTGTATACAGGCAGTGGGCTCCCGTACGCTGGCATGCACATTCAACAGGGATAACTGCAGATGGGCTAGCTTTCCGGCCATCTTCCCCGGTAGCGCTACCGGTAGTACTGTAACCTTCGGCCCGTAGCCCATCACCTGGATCTAACGGCACTAATGCAAGTTCTCGCGTATGTGGCCGGCGTTCACGTCTCAATGGCTGCTAGTACGCGTATGCTGCCGCAATGCGGTATACATACTCGACGGATTGCTCCGTCTTATGGTCTATAAAGAAGCCCCAGACCAAGCCCGAGATTTCAGTGTATCGGAGACATGGACCACTTAGCGATCCTGCGTGGAAGAGCCGGCCTTCCCCCCGTGAGCCCCGATGCAGGTTTGATAGAAGCCCGAATACAGATCAGGAAAACCTATGGCATGGCTATGAAAATAAACGTGGGGTACAGCGCAGATCATGTCTCATCGTCCGCGACTTGGTGCGATCGTCCGAGTGGAGTTCTTGAGGGTCGAGTGGTTTCCTCTACACCTACACCACTTCATCAGAGATTGGACAGTACCTCTAACTGTACTTGTGGGGGGCTAGCACTGTTCGGTTTCTTTCGAGGAGCTGGTGACCACCACCAAAGTAATCAAGTGTTTAAGCCCGCGTGAGACACTGTAGTGCAATGAGAACCAATCGTTGTGGCACACGATAGCAGAAGATCCACATCACTTTTCTTGCATATTTTTTTTTTGCATAGCGGTGGGACTGAGATCAGCGTCCTGATCCTGCCAGTCGCGATACAGTGGGTTACTATGCAACGCACAGAATCTCTTAATCCCTGAAGCGCCACCTCAACAAAAAGAGTTGCATGTCTAGCATGGGCTTATATGTAATTTCATGCAACTCTCCATACAGTCACGTTACGCGGCTGAAAATCCCCGTTGTAAGGACCGAAACTCCAGGCCAGTATCAGTAAGTCCGCGCGCTCTGTTTTGACGAAGATCGCGAAAAGGGTGCTTGGCACTTACAAAAGTTGCAGACATCTTAATAGACTTGGTCGAACTGTGTAGTCACAGCTTTACTTGAGACTACTAGGTGTGATTCTAGTAATTCCCTCGGTTTCCGTACGCGCCCGGTTTGTTTATTTTAGGAGGCGCGAGGGAAGACTTTGCGTCGTTGTGCTTGTGGCCTCACGGCATTATTATCCTTTTAAGGCCTAGGCACGAAACTAAGACCAAGAAGATGAAACACGGTAGTCACTAATAGGAAGGAGCAGTTAGGCTGAAGATGAATTGAAGTTGGAAGAAAAGGAAAAAGAAAATACTTGCTGGGCCGTCACCCTGACCATACAAAGGGGTTTCAGGCCATGCCATCGACGCAAGAGAAAGCAGTCATGGAATATAATCAACAGTAAGCCTCTTCGCGTAAAGGCATCATAGTGTAGTGGATGTGTAAAACGACACAGGACTACCAGACCCGATCTGAATAATAGCATAGATGAACACGGTCTGGAAGCAGGGCTAATATCACTCAACGGCCTTCGCGGAGGGCGATTTGGAACGGGTGTGAGCCTCAAGCCGCTTTACGGGACGGACCCGTCCACGAATCATGACCCTGGACATCGTATATGCTGATGGGCAAACCCACAATAATCAGGTTACCGATTGGTCTCCGCAAAGGCGGGGTTGGGCGATCCCAAAGTGCACCCACATGAACACGCATTTGAACTATCCGCTCGCGACTCGATATTATAGTGTGTGCGTCCCCGGAAGTCAAGAAGCCAAATCCTTCGTACCAACAGTTGGGGTTCTTCACATTCATCCGTCTGACAGTTCGCAAAAATGGAGCAAAAGACATGGGTAATGCTCGGTAAGCCATCTAAATTCTCACATACCACTTGTCTTCGATCAGAAACTGATGCCCAACCGCAGAAAACAACCCTGATGTTATGAACCAATTGGCGGCAACCTTGGGGCTATCTTCCGATCTCGAGTTCTACGACGTCTATTCACTGGATGAACCGGAACTCATCGCGCATATCCCTCGGCCTGCCCTGGCTCTGCTGGTCATCATTCCACTCACGCCGGCCTGGGATCGAAGTCGTAAGGCCGAAGACGCTAGCAAGGATCTTTACACCGGCTCTGGGCCTGACGAGCCAGTCATTTGGTTCAAGCAGACCATAGGTCACGCCTGTGGCTCGATTGGCCTGCTTCATAGTGTGATCAACGGTCCTGCTGTCAGCTACATCAGACCTGATTCAGATCTTGCAGCCATACGAAGCCTTGCCATACCATTGGATACTGAAAAGCGTGCCGAGTTGCTGTACAACAGCGAGTCATTTGAACGAGCACACAAGTCGGTCGAGCAGATTGGGGACAGCTATGCGAGCCCGGCAGTTGAGCGCGATGGCGGTCATTTTGTGAGCTTCGTTAAGAGTGGTGGAAAACTCTGGGAACTTGAGGGGTCAAGAAATGGGCCTCTGGACAGAGGAAGCCTTGCAGATGACGAGGATGTTCTCAGTCCACGAGCACTTGAACTTGGCATCAAGAGAATCATCAAGCTGAATACAGAGGGAGGAGGAGAAGATCTTCGTTTTAGCTGTATCGCACTGGCTCCTAGGTCTTGAGCTCTGACTGAAATCTTTGTTTTTTGTGCATACATGAAAGGTACAGTATCCTGTGTACGCAGCATCAAACGAAACACGAACAATCAATATTTTGAGACCTCGGTCTGGACCACACGGACTACCACCTAGGTCCCTAGACCAGACTGCAGGTCAAATAGCTGCATCTAATGGCTTTACCGAGCAGCATGAATTCGTGGGACTTTTACCGCATATGTAAGCGCAACATGCCGAGGCTTTGATGGTGACAGAACAGCCATAGCCCTCTAGTCTACAAACCTGGCTACATGTGGACTTCATGCGAGTTGTCATTGGTGCGACTACATCGTAAGACTAGATACATGCGATGCAAATGATCGCTCAAGCCCACCCGGTAGTTCCAGTGCAGAGCACGTTTTCTGTAAGCTTATGGCGAATGCACATACCTTCCACGACCCGATTGGTCAGAGTCATGAGACATTGCATTGCCGTATCGTATTCGCAACTTTCTCTTGCTGGGTGCGGGCATTAAATTCGGCAATCGGCGATCTCTGTACTGAGCCTGTAAATATTGTACCCCGGAATTGGATGGAGGAATTTGAGAAAATAAACAATTGCCATATGGCCCCTGTTGCTCAATACATGCCCACCGAAATCAAGCTTATCAATGAAATGCTTACTCAATTAGCCCCACCGAATGATCACCATTCCACTCATGCGCTGAGTTAAACGTGTGAATGCTGTTGAGGGCAACTAGCCAGCTGACGAAGGATTTTGGTCATCTAGAACATCTGACCTCGTATTGCCTCAACACGTCTCATCAAAGTATACCGCTGTTTCCGCTCCAGAGGAAACGAAGATCTTACCGAAAGCGAAATTCCGGTTAGTGCTTACCCCTTTTCGGTTGTCTCCGGCAATGAGATATTGTGGAATTAAATAAAACGGCGGACTAAACCCTTGCCGGCCATAGGGGGCCAATAGTAGAAGAGTGTTCCGCCAACGGTTGCAAGCAGCATAAAAACTAATACACTCTGGGATATAAAGCGGTTTGGATGTATTAACCGAGAGGGGTTTGACACGTCATTGATAATCAAACTGCAACTAAAGCCGCGTTTTGATCAAGATAGAGGCTGTAACTATTGATTACTCTAGCAGTGTAATGGAATAGCCTGTACCACATTCACGGCTCAGCATCCCAAAAACGTAATTGCCTCACTGTGCGTAAGAACTCATAGTTTGAAATCGCAAGGATCCGGAGCTATAAGCGAAGATAAACTATCTGATATGCGGTGTCACCAACGCATCAAACCACGAGAAAAGTACACAGCCCTCCACTCAGGTTAATACTTGCAAGAATCTCTTGTCTTTCCAACGAGAGACGCAGTCATCCATTTCGTACTGTGGGTGAGACATTTCTGTAATAACTTTGCATTTCACTTTCCGTCTCTGTATATGACTTGAGTTTACACGAGATTCAAAACCACACAGAAAGTTTCTGCAATCCGAATTGATCAGGTTGGAATTTGCATATTGTCTATTCGAGTTTTGTCAATCTTGTTTACTCCTTCTTCGCCATAATCTTGCCAATACCTCTGAGTCCCCAGATGAAGAGTACAATGGTAGCGCAAGTCATGGCGAAAAAGTACCAGAAGGCGGCTCTGTAACCCTCCATGAGAGCTGCAGGGGATGTTTTTGACGCTTCATGGGTCTGAGACGTCACGCTGCCTGCTAAAGTGCCGGCTGTTGCTAATGCTACCGTTTTCGCGAGTTGTGTGATTGTGTTGAGTACGCCACCCGCGAGCCCCTGCATCTGTTTGGGGAAACATGATGTAAGTACCAAGTTCGATACCGCGAAGAGGGCATCTCCGCCAATGGGGCTGAGGATGACCGCAAAAAATGCACAGACCCAATACGACCATTCAGGCTGTATAATGGCCATGAGAAGCATACCCACAGACGACAGCAGCATGCCACCTGATATCGCCCAACCAATGTGAACTTTATGGGCAAGAAATCCTACAGCCAGATTACTGAGCGCGGCAGAGACTACGCCAGGTAAAAAGCGTAAAGCAGTCTGCAAAGCAGAATGATGCTGGACGTTTTGAAAAAACAGACTCTGGTAGGAGTCACAGCTGGTCAGAGCTCCCCATGTCAGAAACAGGCCAAGGCAGATGCATGAGAACAGGCGATTATGCCAGAGTGAGTTTGGAATCACTGCCGGTTTTCCAAGTCGTTCCTGGCGACCCACCCAGAGTACGAATACTGGGGCTAACACCGCGGAAAGTGCAAAAGCTGTGATTGTGCCAGGCTTCTTGATGTAATATGTATGATCCGTTATGGTTCTATAGGGTTAGCAGTCACTTTAGTAGAAATTATGGCATACTTACGTAAACGCGTACGAAAGCAAACCAACACAGGCGCTCCCAATCGCGATCCCAACCCAATCAATCTTGTACTTCAAGTGGACCCATAGATCAGCCCTTTTCTTCGGCTTCTTGCGAGGGATTGCCCAGAAAGCCAGAGCACCAGCGATACCGCTGACGATGGCAGCAAAGTGAAAACCCCATCTCCAGTCTGGAAACACACCACCAAGCAATAGGCCTATAGCAAATCCGACGGGCTGAGACCCGCTAAGTAAAGCAAATGCCATGTTTCTGTCTTTGCCATATGGAAAAGTTTCAGAAACAATGCTTACACATGTGGGGAGGAGGAACGACGAAGCAATACCGCCGAGGCCGCGGAAGGTAATAATTTGCGCCGCGCTTTGCGCAAGACCACAGCCAAGAATCAAAGCAGTCTGAAGCACCATGCCAGTCAGATACATTGGTCTACTTCCAACGATATCGGCTATGGATCCAAGCAAAAGGAGTGTACAGCCACAGGTCAGAGCGTACACGGATATTGGCCTCAAATTTTGTGAGTACGAAGATGCTGTCACGAAGGAATTACATACCATGTCAGGAGTTCAGGCCCTAATCGTAAATCAGACGCTATTTTCGGAAAGGTGATGATGACAAGGCTAGACAGTATCGCGTTCAATCCAGTAGCGCAAACTGTCACTACAGCTACTGTCTTTGGTCGCTTTTTTCCGATAATTTCGTCATCGCCAGCTTCTGCTTCGGCCAGTGGGCTGGTGGGTGTTGTATCAAGCGCAGTTGCAGATTGTACTTGTGAGTCTACTGGAAGAGGTTCCAGAGGGTATTCTGTTTCGGTACACGTAGTGACCCCCATTTTCATAGTAGGCTGGAATGCTAAGAACTACACAAGAGCTGTTCGATGGAGGGTGTTGCTTTTGTAGTGCGCCAAGACAAGGGCCGAATCGGTGAGGGGCTTGCGAGCCTAGCGAGGCCCCGCATTAAGTATATTAATGATGTGAGGGTAAGCTGCGATGCCGAGGTGCGCCAAAGGGAAGAACGCGAAGGAAAGACGAAGGTGGTCTGCCTACTAATAAATCATGATATCCATCCAAATGGAGCTTGCAGGCGATCTAACAATTGCCTATGTCCTTGCAAAGATATTCAAGCATGGAATTGCGCATTACTTAACACTTGCTAAAAGGTCAGCTGACATGGCTCCCCATAAAATCAGCTCTTTGGGGTCAGCTTATGTTGCTAGGGTAGTTTCAGAGAGGGCAGCCATCACTCAATCGTCTGCCCTAGCGCCAGGTGATGACGGGTGGCGTATGCTTCTGCTCAGGCAGATTCCATCGCAGGCTTCATTGGGGTTGACAATTGGCCGCCTGCGCACTAAATCATCTTCACATTCTGATAACATTAGACCTCTATATATAATCCACATGAATGCTGGGCATATGATAGCCATATACAGATATTTCTACTTGATTTTCAGGCTATCTGAAAGAACTCTTCCCCAACATGACTGTCGTTCTCCCCAAGCAAAATGGCAATCATAGCATGGAATATGCAACAATTCCCTACGATGTTGAGAGCATTCGACAACACTTTCCAGCTTTGCGCGGAGAAAAGATCCCGCTCAACAATGCCACCGGTAGCCTGGTGTATGATGGCGCTGTCAAGGCGTAAGTTTCATTCGCTTGTTCCTCAGTGAAGAAAGTATAACCGTGGAGGATGAAGTTGATACTAATCATGGATCCAGCATCGCAAACGCAATGTCAGCCTATCAACTTGACTTTATTGGCGGTGATACAATGAGTGCGCTCCAGGTCAAAGAGCGAAAATCAAAGTACGAAGAACTATCGGCATTCATGAACGCTGAACCCGACGAAATTGGTATGTCATAACCAGCAACACAGGGATATTCTTTCCTTCTAATTTCAATTCTAACGACACCAGCTTTCGGACCCTCCACCAGTGGCCTTATTCGTAACTTGACTTCTTCTTTGAGGCCGCTACTCAATTCCGATTCGGAAATGATCGTTTCAACATTGTGCCACGAGTCTGGCGTTACATCATGGGTAGCTCTTGCTCGCTCCCTAGGCATCGAAATAAAGTGGTGGTCCCCACCTGGTGGAAGATTCAACAACACTGCTAAGCTCAGCGTCGAGACTCTAAAGCCACTTCTTTCACCGAAGACGAGGCTTGTCTGCTGCGGTCATGTATCAAACATATTTGGTACCATACACGACATTCGCGCCGTCGCAGATGTTGTCCACCGAGTTCCAGGCGCCATGCTTTCAGTTGATGGAGTAGCTTGGGCTCCTCACCGGCCAATCGATGTCAAAGCAATGGACGTTGATTTCTACTTCTTCAGCTGGTACAAGTTATTTGGGCCGCATTTTGCACAGATATACGCCCGTCGCTCCGTACAACAGCGGTACATGACGAGTTTAAATCATTACCATATTGATCCCACACCTCTTGACGTCAAAGTACGCTTAGGCACAAGTTGCTATGAGTTTGAGGATGGCGTACTTGAGGTAGTACGCTACATTAAGCGTATCGGTTGGGAGGGTATCATCGCACATGAGGTAGTCATCGTCCAGCCTCTGCTTGACTACCTTAACTCCCACCCGAACTGGTACACTCTGTATGGCGAGAAGTCTTCCGATCCAAAGCTTCGAGTATCCCTTGTTTCCTTTACGGTCAATGGCGTTTCCTCCATGGAGATTGCCAAGGCCATTCACGAGTCGTCGCCATGCCGTATCTTGGCGGGGAACGCTTATTCGCTCAGACCAGTGCATGATGTTCTTGGACTGGGCACCGATGGCGTGCTTCGCATCAGCTTGGTTCATTACAATACACTTGAGGATATCCAGGTCTGCATTGATGCTCTGGATCGTGTTGTACGAGGATATCTCAAGGCTTGAATATAAGGCTAGTTCACATAGATTACATATATTGTTAGCAAAAAAACACTTTCGCGTATCGGTAGAAAATGAAGTCCACTGTAAATTTCATGCAAGATGTTATGCCCGCAATGCTCTAGAACGCACAATAAATGCTAATGCAATTCTGAACGAGACACCAACCTCTGAAGTGCAGCTAATGCAATCTTGGCAATACTTCCGAGGCATCAAATGGACATGATATTCATGAAATTACTATGAAACACCATCTTCTCTTCATGTATAGAAATCGATAAGCCAAAATTGAATGAACTTGCAAATTCCTAGTTATAGAACTATCTTGGGTCCTTAGTTTAGTATCAAAAAAGGAAGCAAAGAGTTGATAATTCACTAATTGTTGTCATTGGTTTTCCTATATCCCTGTACCGTCCTTTCCGATATGCGACGCTACCCCAGTGCGATATCGATGCGCGACTAGCCTGAGCGGTTAGATCCAGGACCTTGCAGATACGGGTGTCAGCTTATCTTGCAGAAACGAGCGTAAGCTTACCCCGTTGAAATGGAAATACATACACGCACTACGTGGGAGACGCTATAAGCTGATTTTTGCTTTTAACGGGACATACTCGACTATCAGACTGCTTATGGTCATAGTTGCAATTCTGTAGTTATGCTTCATACTCATCAAGCAATATCAGCATTTCAATTATCTCACACTTGGTTCAGCAATGACCCGATATGAATGCATCCGTGTTAGTTACGTTGGAAAAGCCGGACTTGGCATTAGGAGCATGATCATTGCCAGTGCCGAATACTAGTATTATTGTTGTGCCCATCCTCAACTTCAGTTTTCATTTCTACTTTCCATGGTAGAAGGCAGCACTCAAGTCTCTCCAATATATTTCTTGTTCTCTTTCCTGGATCAAAACCATCTGAGCAATCATGCCGTCCCCAATTACCATCTCCCTACCTTCACAGAGCACGCTAGATGTCTTCTGTTTAACAAACAACGTTTCACCAGTATCAGTTCTCAAACTGGCATTCGCAACAGCACTTCATCAATACTTCGATCTGCTTGAGTTCACCTGCGGTGAAGCCCTTCCAAAGGATGATGAAAGCAACAGGAACTACCTCATCAGTAAGAGCCGACAAGTACAGTACTTCCCGGAAATTGCCTCTACCACATCTGTTCGGGCAGTTTTCGGTATTGAAGAAACAAAACGATCGTGTGAAGATGATCTGGCGCCGATTCTGGTCAGCAACACGGAAAATGTAACTCTGCAAAAAGAGCCGGTCGCCAATAGGCTTACAGCAACCCTCCTTTTTACCAGAACAACATCTAATCCAGAAAAAATAATGTCTTCCTGTAGAGACAGTCAGAGCCTTTTCGTATACTTCAACGAAACGTCACTGTCAACGCGCATGCTTTACAACCCCGACCAGGTCTCTGAGTTCGTGGCCACGGGTTTTGCAGATGCTATTGCTGCGGTCGTTCAATCTATATCTTCTGTCTCTCTCGACACGGTTATCGCAGACCTAGATATGTGCGGAGAGCAAAGCCGAGCAACGATATCCAAATGGAACCAGTTTTCAACATACACGCCCAACAAATTGCTCCATAACATGGTTGGAATCGGCTTTCTCCACAAGCCTGATGCAATAGCTATCCTATCCTGGGACGGGCAAATGTCATACTTGGAACTGGACAAGCGATCTTCCGCCCTTGCAGCATACCTCATGGACACATATGATCTGAAGCCGGGTAGAAAGGTAGCTTTATGCTTTGAGAAGTGTACCTGGGCCATCGTTTGCATGCTTGCAGTACTCAAAACCGGGGCGGCATACTGCTGTCTTGATCCAAGCCACCCACGCGCCCGTCACGATTCCATCATTGAAAAGCTGGTCACACCAGTCGTCCTTGCTTCGGCTCAGCACGAAAACCGTTTTGAGGGACATAGTGTACTGGTTCCGAATCTTGAAATAGTTCAACGACAATGCAACTACCGGCCAACGGGCGTCCAGCCTAGTGACGTGTGTATGGTGGCCTTCACTTCCGGTAGCACGGGAACTCCCAAAGGCATAGTGCACACGCATAACTCGCTGGTTACTGGTATTCTTGCCAATGCCTCTCCGCAGCATCTCAATCAAGAAGGGGTGTCAACTTACCAATGGTCAAGTTACACTTTTGATGTCAGCATGATCGAGATCTATGCACCGTTGATCTTTGGTGGGCGCATCTGCATTCCCTCGGACGAAGAGCGAATCAACAATGTTGAAGAGAGCATGAATAGAATGGCTGTTAATTGGGCCTATTTTACTCCCTCTTTTGCTCGCTTGTTTGCACAGTACGATATTCCCAGCTTGAAGACCTTGCTTATGGGCGGCGAGGTCGTTACTCCGGAAGATATCAATGCTTGGTACAATCGCGTCAAAGTTATTCACTGTAAGTCTCTTGTAGGATTATATGAACCTCTTTCCATTTCCACCTCGTTCTTGAGAAGATGATGCAATGAATGAAGCAAAGGAGGGCTGTTTTGCTAACAATCGCCATACAGCATATGGACCGGCTGAGTCGGCTACGTTTTTCCTAGCCGAATTCAATAGTCCTTGCTCCAACATCGTACCGATCGGGCCCGCGCCCAACACCTATTCCTGGATCGTGAACCCCAACAATCCTGAGCTTTTGTCTCCTCTGGGTGCAATCGGGGAGATGCTTTATGAAGGCCCCGGTCTTTTGAAAGAATATCTCGGAGACCCCGAGAAGACGAACAAAGTCTTAATTGAGCCCCCATCATGGAGGCGAAATCTTGACGCTCCCACTCCTTCTTCCAAGCTCTATAGGAGTGGCGACCTTGTACGCTATCTACCCGATGGCAAAATGGTGTATATCGGACGAAAAGACACAATGGTCAAAGTAAGAGGGCAGAAGCTCGAAGTGGAAGAAGTAGAGTCGGTCATCCGAAAGACCCTCGGTGGGTCAAGTCAAGTGGCCGTCGACCTGGTGGAGTTACATGGCAGTGGAGCCAGATTGGTAGCATTCCTGCAATATTCAGGGGATAAAGAGTTGAACGGACATACGAATGGCGTACGTTCAGAGATGCTTCGGTCGAGCACTGTATCTGATGAGAAGATGAACGAACTTATTGCCCAAATCCGCTTTCGTCTCGTCGAAACTCTGCCTGAGTTTATGATCCCTCGGATTTACATACCTCTTGCCAAGCTTCCTACTAATTCCAACGGAAAGCTCGACCGTGCGAAACTCAAAGAGCATGCTAGGAACCTGTCGGCAAGCGAGCTATTCAAGTACACCGACTCCGGCTCCAGCAATGGAGTTCTGACCGAGATACCCGAGGACGACACAGTTGCGCTTGAGATTAGCGATATACTTGTCAATATTCTGAGTAGCCCAGAGTCAACAGGAGAGCATCCTCTCAAGGGGAAGAATGCTACTTTGGAAAACCTAGGCCTCGATTCCCTCAGGATTGTCTCGTTCGTTAGAGCTATCAATAAACCTTATGGCCTTAAACTTCCTATCAAGATTTTCCGCAAGATCGACTTAAGCGTTCGGGACATCGCAGAGATTGTGCGTAGTCGGGGCCAGGTTGCACGGCAGTCTGAGGAAGATGCCAGAACAGCTGAAATTTTACAAGAAGTCGACGAGCTCAACAAAGAACTACTACAAGTCCAGCCCTCCCAGCAAACAGTTCTCAAGAAGACATCGCAAACAAGCAAAAGTGTGGTGTTCTTGACAGGGGCGACGGGTTTCCTTGGCACACAAATCCTTCGCCAGCTGCTAGCTCTTGACAGCGTAGCCAAAGTCATCGTGCTGGTTCGAGCCAGTGATATCAGTACCGGCCTTGAGCGGATTGTGACAGCCGGTACGACTGCCGGATGGTGGTCTCCGGTGCTAGCTAGTCGTATCGAAGTTTGGTTAGGAGACCTTGCACAGCCGAGGCTAGGTCTTTCCACAGATCAATGGGCACGTCTCGAGGGGACATGTACCCAAGAATCAGAAGCCGTCACTGCCATCATACATAACGGGGCTGTGGTAAATTGGTCCTCGAGTTATGAGCGACTTCGTGCGACCAACGTCCTCAGCACGCTCCAGATCCTGAAGCTCGCGTTAACGGCACCTGGCCCTCTCCAACACTGTACCTACGTCTCCGGCGGTGACATGCATCTTTCTGAAGCGGAAGTGGCGAACAATAGGTCGCGTCTATCATCTGCAGATGGCTATTCGCAGTCTAAGTTTGCAGCCGATGTCCTGGTTGATCGATGCGTTGATCGCGCTCCATCTGGCCGACGTATTAATATGGTCAAACCCGGCATTATTATCGGCACGGCGACCGAAGGTATTTCCAATACCGACGATTTCATTTGGCGACTGACTGCAGGCGTTTGCGAAGCTGGAGCATATGTTGATGGTGAGCAGGATGCGATAGTTTGTCTAGCGGGTGCAGACCAGGTCGCCGAACGCATTATCGAGGCATGCCTTGGTGATCCAAGCGACGACGACAGCACATCCAAGGCTCTGAGAATGACTCAAGGTATTCCCGTGAGAGATTTCTGGAATGCTGTCTCAGAAGGCACCGGATTGAAACTCAATCCGATGGATTTTGAAGACTGGCTTCGGGTGGTGAACGCGAATGTGTCCCGGCAAGGACCGTCACATCTCCTTTGGCCTGTCATGGAATGGGTAGAACAGCGCAAGGGAAAAATTGGCGATCCTCGTTTGAAAAACGATACATTAGGTAATGACTGTGAAACGAGGGCCAACACTCTTCAAGCATTGCGCAAGAGCGTGGAATACCTTTCCAGTTTGCACTTTTTGCAGGGGGAGACACTGTTGAATGGTGCAAAGCAGAATGTGTTTCGCCGGACTGGACTGCAGAAGTAGATTTCTATCATACCAATTCGATGTTTCTTTCGGAAAATTGAGCTCGTTCATGTGGGAGGGCGTTCATAGTAACACAATGGCGTATTACAGAGCTGAGTGAGTGGCAAATAGATGAAAAGTACATCTTTTGTGTTGAGTTTATTTACTCGCCACATCTACGAATGTATAATTCCAGAGATAATGAGCATAATTGAACTCGTTCTGTCACAGTCTATTGCCATAGTAAGGAAATGCCAATCCTCATTCGCGATAATTTTTGGGCAGCATAGCGAGGCCTGTACTTGAAGACACCCACAAAGATGTACCTTGGGTCTTGCAGAAACGGATCTATGTGGAGATTGGCTAGGCCATGTCTTCCTTGTTTAGCGTGAGTGCTGTGCCCTGTTCATGTAATATTGAAAAACGAGACGTTGAGGAAACTGAGTCATGAGTGACGCGTGGCATTCTGAGCCGGGCCATTAGGAATTCCTGGATAGCAGTCTCACAGGGACCATGAACTGGAAAGCCACTCCCTCTTTTCGGACATGGGGTCCAGCTTGAGTATCCTTGCCCGTCATGTAACGTTTAGTGTCCGCAATACACGTGCGGAGAGGGTAAGCTGACTTTCTACCGAGGGATACACGGTAGTAAGCTGACATTGCGCCGGAACGATCCGAAGCTGAGGCTCTGCACATTGCTGTAAGCTGAGCAGGTCGTAATTGCAATCTCGTCAAGCAGAAAGCGTAGCTTATCATAAGGATGCTTCCAAGGCACATTCGCTGTGAGTGATGACTAAGCATCACTTGTCTTGTGACATTACAGTGAGCCATGAGATGATTGTCTTCGGTGAAAGAGAATGTCCATTGCAGTGAAACTAAAGGAGCATAAGCTTACATCGTATGAGAGACGAAGACGACCTCGATGGAGGCTCCGAAGAGGATACTGGAAGACATGACAGCGATCTCAAGCACTATATAGATTCGCTTCCTTCGTCCATCAAGTAAACCATCACTCCAGCACAGTTCTACAATCACTTTAAACATTTAACACTCAATCTATTCAACATCTAACTACCTTCCAACAAAATGTCTCCTCTTCCTCTTGTTGACTTCTCCGTCTTTTACACCGGCACCGATGCAGATCGCGCCAAACTGGCCTCTACTATTGCCGAGGAACTCAAAAAGCACGGTGCCATGCGCCTTATTAACACTTCTATCTCCGCCGATAAGATCCAGGAAGCTTTTAAATGGGTACTTATGATCAACTCCCACTACCTTTTCTGAATCAGAAACTGACCTTCTTCGTTCGGTACAGGGCGAGAAGTTCTTCGCACTCCCTGCTAAGGAAAAAGAAGCCATTCCTAACGAACGTAACGCTAATCCCCAACGTGGTTGGAGCTATGTCGGCTCTGAGAACACTTCTAAGCTTGATATGACCCAGAACGAAGGCTTAGAAGACGAAAAAGTTAGCCAAGCCCATTCCCCTCTTCTCTCTAGAAAAGTCATTGCTGACGCCTTCAAAGGAGCATTTCGACCACAGCTCTGGAGCTGATACCGAATTCCCTAGCAAGTGGCCCATGGAGTCTAGCATCCCGGGGTACCGACAATTTATGGAAGACCTGCTAGAAAAGTGCCACTCGGTCGGCTGGAAGGTGCTCTCACTCCTAGAGGAAGGCCTGGGTCTTCCGAAGAACGAGCTCCTGGGCCGCTGCCAGGAATCGCCCATCATCGATGAGCTGCGCATGAATCACTACGCCCCAATATCCACGGAGAAACTGGCGACCGGCAAGTACCGCCGCGCCTGGCCTCACACTGACTTCGGCATGATCACGCTCCTCTTCCAGGATGACGCCGGTGGCCTCGAGGTCCAGGACCGCTTCAGCGACAAGCCTGATGCGTTTATTCCTATCCAGCATGAGCATCCTACCGAGGTCAATGTCTATGTTAGCAACAGTCTCGAGTACATGACCAACGACTATCTCAAGGCGGGCTTGCACCAAGTCGCTACTCCCATCGACATGCAGGACGTAAAGAAGGGTATGCTGCCGGAGCGCCAGTCGATTGCTTGTTTCATCAAGCCCCGCCGCGATGTCAACGTTGGGCCGATGAAGCAGTTTATTACCAAAGAAAGGCCTAGGGTCTACGAGGACTTGACTGGGCTGGAGCTTCACAGGGTTAGAGTTGGCAAGTTGTACGGAGTAGCTGCCTAGATGGCCAGCACTGGTGGAAAATCTATTGCAAATTGTATCCAGACGCCCAGTCAGCCAAGTAACACAATAAACACAGTTACTATGCTAGATAGGTAGATCTTAGTTGAATAAAATGGTGTTAAGAAAATTCAAGCTATGCAGTATGCGCAATACATTTACACTGAACAGGAATCGAGTCGAGATGGAGAATCTACGATATGGCTTTTATTCTGATTCTCAAATCATTTTACATAAAAGTGCGCCATTATACTTAAGTAGTCTTTTTCACGACAGCCAACTTCGACCTGACAGGAACATTATGCTCGATATTCTGCGTATCGGGAAATCCCTCCAACTTGACCTCCTTTCTGAAAATAAGGCAGTGCGTACTTCCGCCAAAATGGAACATGCCAATCTCCTCGCCCTTGCGCACACGATCGCCCTCCTTGACCGTGATATCGCAGGTGGAAACCTCGGTCATACCAATGCCCATGAAACACATGAGACCCAAGTCCGGATTATCGGCTTGGATGTATATGATTGCCCGCGTAGCGGTCGCAGTAATATAGCCTTGGGCTATGTTCTCGCCATCGCTACTTATACCACCGTGGCTAGAAGGATCACCGACGCCTTCAAACAATGGCTCGGAAAAGTAAGTTCCCTCAACTAAGTAGGCTTTCTTGATTATGCCATTGATCGGTGAGTGCCAACGATGATAGCTCAATGCGGAGAGGAAGGCCTGGTACACGGTTCCGCCAATGAACTGCTCATGTAACGGGTCCATGGCCAGCATATCCATGAGAGAGTAGGGCTGGCCTTTGATCCAGAAGCGGTCCCGTTGCGCGATATTCTGGCTGACTTTGTATGGCTTGGACTCACAAGCATTGGCGATGACACTATCATCATCTGGGCTGGCAACAGGTCGTTTGTCTTCGCGAAAACGGCGGGTGAAGAAGTCATCCCACGACTTGTAACCATGGTGCTCTTTAGTGGGATCGCATTCGTAGAGCTCATCGAAGCTGTAAGAGGTCGGGCCCACATTTGCCGTCAACTCAAGGTCATGGCTACCGTGGTCACTGAGCCAGCCGATCTTGTCGTTGCCCAGCACATATGCTGAAGCTGGTGAGGCGAGGAATTCGGCCCATGCGTTCAAGACTTTTTTAATCACCTTATTGACTTCTGGATCCAGGAAGAAAGCAAACCCGGATGGTGTACCCTAGAGACGGAGGGTAAGTGGGATTAGTAAGATATTCTTATGGGAGTCCGACAGCATGCTTACCATGGGCCAGTCCAGGATTGCATTGAATGGCGTGCCAACCACTCCAACAGAGTACTCATGATCATTCCATTCAGGCGCGGTAGTGAGAATATGATTGAAAAGCTCCAGCATGTGGTGATAATCACGCACTTGCTTGTGTCCTGTAGGGTCATTGTTATAGGGCTTCTTGGTGGGTACCTCTTCAAACATGGAGTTGACGAAAATGTAGATGCGCGTATTATTCTCGATCAAATCTTTAAACTCCTGTAATACTGGATGGAGCTCCTTTGGGTTGTTTTCCACACGCTCAATGATTCCGGAGAGCCATTTCTTGTGCACGCGGTGGTCCGAAGGAAGCCAGGAGCCAGTGCGATGCACCTGGTGTTCGTGAGGAACATTTTTGGTATTCGCTTGATGCAACATGACTGCAAGTAGTATGATTTAAGCAAATGCGATGCTTTTGATTGTTAGTTTATCCGGCCTGTGCGTTGGCTTTAAATGTTAAAAGAATTAGTATGCGTACACAATATCGTCGTTGCTACGTCATGGCGTTGCGTAGGTCGGGGTTCGTGAACACGAGTACACATTTTGACTGGACAGCAGCGCCACATGCACCACCTAGTTACGAGATGTTAATTGATATGCAGTAGAAGTTGTTGGCATCGGAGAATGGGTGGGGCGAACAGCTACTTACTTAGCAAACACTGATATTTCCGAACGGGAACGCTGCAGCAACGGAACTTTGAATTCCCATACTTGGCGTGAAGCCCTTTTGTGGCTCGATGACTCCAACAAATAAACCGAGACACAAACTCTTCACAGAGGGCGAATCAGATGCAGAGACACGAGCACAGACTGTCTAAGACAGTTTTCATTAATTTCCATCATCCGAGACTGTCTTGCATATGTCAGAAAAGCGGTACCACACCGGCGCCCGCTTCCATCTTTCACAGCACCTCACTCTGTGTTGGTAATAGATAAAGCTATCAATCACGACGTATACGATGAGTGGAACTGTGAAATTGCCTCTGTCTTCAAAAATGGCAATCGCAGTCCCTTTGTATGCTGTACTACTGCTCCTTGCTATCATTACCCTCACGCTGGATGCACGTATCGTAGCCTTCTACGCGTACGCTGCTCTGATATATTCTTTGGCCTTGGTATGCAATACAACTTATTTCTATCAGCCCGACTAACTGCATCTCCAGTCCATCTCTACAATCGTAGCCTGCGCATACACCATCGCATGTCTCCTGGCTTTTGTTCAACTCCGCAGTGTCAAACTTAGCCTAGCACTCAGCATTTTCATGTCCACGTCTTGGGCCATCAATCTTGGGCTTACTGCTAGCTTAAAGACGCATTGGATGGAGTCCAGGTGTAATGACGAAGCTAGACGCAGATACCAATGTACACAGATAGAAGGCCTCACGTTTTGCAGCGACGATGCGAACACATGCAACACGCTCAGCAGGACTCTAACTGTCAACCTTGTGCTTGCTGCCCTGGAAATGTAAGATGAGGTGTTTAAATCTAGTTCCAACATACTAACATAGTACAGTCTGTGTTGGCTCCTGGCGACAGGCCTTGTTATCTATGAAATGAGACGTTGCAGCTCACAAGCACCTCGACAACGTGGGCAACCAACAGAGTTCTGGGACGAGTTCGTTAACGAGGCCCCGCGAGCTGTACCACAGCCTATACTCCCCGAAAGCGATTACAATGACGACGACGACGTTTTCTATATGCCATCGTTAGTTATCACCGAAAGCGCTGCGAAGAATGGTCCGTCTCGAATAAACTAAACGGCACCCCAATCTCTACAAACAACATCTTCCCCAACACCAAACAACGCCTGCTACACCTCCCTCCCCCCCTCCACACCTCTTATTTGCTCTCCTTTCCCAAAAACGTTAGCGCAGCAACTACATATCCCTCCATACCCACGGTAAGCGTCGGCTGCACAACAGGCGCAAAAAACGGACTATGGTTCCCCGGAACATCCTCACTGAGTCTGCCCTCTTCCTCAGCCTTATCCCACACCTTGTGCTCTATACCTCCATACAAGAAGAAGCAACTCGGCTTTCCAATTGCTGTAGCCAGAATACCAAAATCCTCGCTTCCCTGGAGCCGCGCAACGTCCTTCTGGTACCCAGTCTTGCCTGGCTCAAAGTGCTCGGCGAAAGACTTCTCCAGCGCTTCGGTGACGCCGTCGTCGTTGAAGAGGAGAGGGAATTGCGTTGTGGGTGTCAGCGTGGGCTGAACAGGATTGTTGGAGGCTTCGGCTTCGGAAGCTATGATGCGTTTCACGCTTGCCAGAACGCGTTCGCGTGTCTTTGGAAGAGCAGCGCGCACGTCGATTTTCAGGTTGGCTTCGGAAGGAATGATGTTCTCGGCGTCGCCCGCGTGAAAGGCAGAAACGGTTACGACGGCAAAGTCCAGCGGGTCGACTTCACGCGAGACAATGGACTGGAGACGCATGATTGTGGAGGCTGCTTGTAGAATAGGATCGATACCACGATGGGGAGTTGAAGCATGGGCTTGCCGTCCGGGAATGCGAAGTCTATGATGCGTCAGCTTAATGGTACCAGAAAAGGAAAATGCAGCAAAGATTCACGCACTGGAATCTATCTGCTGAACTAGCAATCAGACCACGTTTTGTACCAATCACACCGGCTCTTTCAGGCATAACGTGCGCTCCAATAACAACATCCGGTTCTTTGACTTTCTTGTAGAGACCGTCGTCTCTACACAGTATCAGTGTCTTAGAAACCATTGGCGCGTTTTCTTGGGACTTACACCATATTCTGAGCTCCGCCTGCTCTCTCCTCAGCCGGCTGGAACACCAGTATCAACTCCCCACTCCATTCATCCTTGCATTTGACTAAGCACTCTGCCGCTGCAAGCAACGCAGTGATATGCATATCGTGTCCACAGGCATGCATAACCGGCTTCTCCACACCATCAACATCTTTCATGCGCGCCGTACTGGCATATTGTAATCCTGTCTTCTCTTCTACGGGCAGAGCATCAATATCAGCACGCAGAAGAACGGTCTTGCCTGGGCCATTAGAGAAGCTGGCTGCGATCCCATGGCCACCAATGGAGGAGTGAATGGTGAAAGCATTGCTGAAAGTTTTAAGATGCTTAACGATTGCCTCTGCCGTCTTCTGTTCTTGGAACGACAGCTCGGGATGCGCGTGAAACCATTTGTCTAGTAGCTCGTGAGTAAAGATCTAAATTGGGCCGACGGGCCACCACCTACATAGTTCCTCATATGAAGCCAAGTCCGGATGGTGTGCTTTTACAATTTCGCTTATTGAATGCATTGTCATTTGTATGAATCAAGCCTGTGTAGATATCAATGGAACTGCGCGGTCGACATTTCCTGGTTATCCACCTGTTATATGCCAAAGCAAACGGCAAATAGTTCGGTAATCCACCTGCCTTTGTCGCGCTAGTAAAGGGTATCAATGTGGAACTCACACGCGCCAGATCCGCTGTTGTGAGGGGTTTCCGACGGACAACGCTGAGAATGACGTAGTAACTGCTAGTGAGGGGTGTCTGTCTTATCGCACGTCCAAACCTCGGATCAGAGCGAATCCAACTGTCTTGATAACAGCATCAACACATATACACGATTTGTAGCAGTGGACATGGTGCAGTTCTATATCATTCGTTCGTGCTAATACAACAACGCGCAAAACTTCAGTTAAACAAGACCAAGAACACCTGACAAGCATTCATGCATTCAACAACCAAGCAGCGCCAAATGGATAAAAAAATATCTGGGACGAGTAATAAATCTTCAATCACTTGGCTTGCCCAGAATGGAGAGGCCGCAGTGACTTTTGTGACCCACACTGAGATTATAGTTGTACACGACGGCGAGGTTTCATACCCCCGCCATAGCCCGTTATCTTACGCCTAAGGAAAGAAGAACAAGAGACAGATGTCGACTTCGGCTGCTCTATGATCTGGCCATTTCATCGCTGTCTTTTGCGAGGTGTTCTTCAAGACTTCCCATAAGATCCGGTTCGGAAGGTGGTGCAGAAGGAACAGCAGGTTCGGACTGCGTAGTTTCAGGCTCAGGTTCAGATTCAGGTTCCGATTTCGGCTTTGGCTCTGGCTCTGGCTCTGGCTCTGGCTCTGCTGCAGTTTCTGGTTCTGGCTTTGTCGCAGTCTCTGGCTCTGGCTCTGGCTTTGTCACAACCTCTTGCACTGGCTCCGGTGCAGCTTCTGGTGCAGACTCTAGTGAAGGCTCAGGCGCAGGTGCAGGTACAGCCACGGCTACTGGCTCAGATTCGGATGTGATGACAGGTTCCGGTGCAGCATCCGCTTCTACTGTAGGGGCTGGGGCTTCGTTCGTAGTATCTTCGGGGACGGCATTTTCAGTGGTAGTTGCAGAAGTTGCCGTATTGTTGAGAGAATTTTGACGGCTGTGGGATATGGCAGACAACGGCAGGTCTGGTGAACTAGAAGCATCACGCCCTGCAGCTTCTTGTGTTGTCTCGGTTGTCGTAGTTTTTGAGTCTGATGGCTCAGTCTTTGTAGTATCTTGCGGTGGCTCGCTGACAGTCGCTGGGGCATCTGTCATTTCTGTTGTCTCGATGGCAGCCTCGATGGGGACGCTGGCAAGAGGCTCTGTGGGTTCCTCCATCGGCACATCGACAGAAGATTCCGCAACAGACGCTGCTGGAGCGGTTTCCAGAGGACCCGATGTATCCATAGCGGATGCGCCGGTCGGTGGTACTGACGGTCGGAGGGGGGTTGCAGGAGTCGAAGTACGTTCCATATCGTGATCCTCATCCTCTGAGCCCTCTTCACCAGAGCCCTCCTCATCTTCTCCACCGACATCAGCCATCGGCGTATCTCCTCCATCTGAAGGTGCTACTGATCCCTCTTCTCGCTTGATGCTAGGTACTTCAAGCAAATCACCGGCAGTCGATGCAGGTGTTCCTTGTTCTGCCGCACCTTCAGCAAAGACCACCTTCTTCTTGCCCCTACCAGGACCTCCACGCTTAACCTTCTTCTTAGGAGGAGGAGGCCGTCTCCTGGGCGGAGTCTGTTGCACAATATCGTTGGCTACAACAATACCTTCGGCGTTGACCACACCAACGCCCTCAACAATCGTTCCTGGAGCAGCTGTAGCGGGTGCGACTTCGATTGCAGCATCGGTAGGTTGGACTTCGCCCTCTACCGACTGTCCTTCGGGAACAAGCACCTTGTAGACAGCTACGTTGCCTTCCGCATCAAGCTTTTTGACCTTTGTTTCGCGCAATGCAGGCTGTACCACTGGAGGGCTGACGTATGGCGAAGGGAGGCCCTTCCTTCTCTTTGCAAGATACTCTGGCTCTGAAACCTCCAGGTGGCGTGCTACCTTAACATACTTCTTGATGGTAAATCCAGTGCGAATCTCTTTACTCTCTTCTTCTTCGTCTTTCATTTCATTGTCTTCTTCTGGTGGTGCCGGTGGTTTATAGAGCTTTCCAGACCGAGCTGCTCGTAGTAGCTGCTGAGAATGCTCCGGAAGCATATGGGAGTCCCGGGGCATAGGGAGTTCCGGCCAAGCATTTTTATCCAAGGGCTTGTTCTCGGCAGAATGTGGTTCAATAGTAATTTCAGCCTCCCGATACTGCGTGATGGGAAGTCCCTCTAGCACATTATGCTCTATCTGCCCACGTCCTGACCTGTTGGAACGGTCTCTATTGCGGAACTGGTCACGTGATGTTAGCCTTAAAACCCAATGAAAATAAGGCTATTCGTTGCATTGCAGATGGAAAAGGGGTGTGTCTGCTGTCATGGATCCGCTCGTGACCAAAGTGCCAGTACAGAGGATCCGCTATTCGATCCTCACGTGACATGTCTCGATGGTGTTTTCTCATACTGAAGCGCGTGTTTCTCTGCGGGTATATGGTAACTGATGTGGGTTTGGCGATGGAGACATGGCGATGCGAGATGTGATGCGCGCAATAAGAATAGCGCCTTGCGCGCGTGTGCAGATGCTGGAATGAGGCGGGCTCATGAGAGCAGAGTTTCCATGCATCCCTCCCCATAGCAAACGAACAGACCAAAAAACATGACGTACCGGAGCCATAGTGGCATGCGACTGCCTCGATGAGCAGGCGGTGAAGGTGGATATTGATGTAGGCGCAATGCGGCGGGAAGTCGCGATGTGTGAAGGGGAAGCGCGTCGGTTTGCGACCTGGAAGGTGCAACCGTGCGCCACTAGTCCGAATTGGGCGGGCTTATGGATCCAGGCAATCAGATTGTGTATCAAACATGATTGCTTTGCAGCGTCAAACATCGTGGCTTATGTATTAGAAAAATTCAAGATGCTTGTCTCCTCTATCTAATCATGGTGGTGTGGAAGCTTTTATTGATATGGCCAGCATCAAGCAGCTATGTTAGAATAAGCCTCTTCAACCCTTGACCCGTCATGCATCATGTATTGGAGTCAATTGTATACAGGCTTTGGAGGCAGCTCATAATTGATTAGATCACACGGTTCTGTAAAGTCGAATTTCCATCTTTATATATTACAGTGCATTCATTGCTATAACCCCAATTTTGGTCAAACAGATACGGCTGCTTCCCCGCAATCGCTCTTCTTCACATACAATGTGCGCAATGTTGTTACAATATTCTCTCATAGCATCGTCAACATCTTATTCTGTTCCGGTATGCTTAGTCCCATCCCTGGTCCTTTACCCTGACGATGTCGCTGCGATCTCCTTTTTGCTTGCCTTCCTTCCCGCCCTCAACCACTAGTCGGTCGATCTGGTAAAATTGGCTTATGACGGTTTGTCTCTGTAGATTCGCGTCAGCTACGTCTTTTCTTGAATTGGCCTATGATCCAAGATTTGCTCATGCGTGCGAACGCTAGCCGCCTTCAATGCCGTTTGTTGTCTTGTACGTCCTGGCCGACCTCTTCTTGCAGTTGTAACCATTGCCTTGTCTTGCCACCCTCTGCATCATGCCCACTCCTTGAATACGCACTCACCTTCAGCATCTGAAGCTCACTCAGGCCTTTTTGTACCAGCTCCTGAATGGTCCGCTCTTCTGTTATGCTCTTGTTATCCCGAAACGCATCGCGCGTTCTCCGCTTGGCGTATTCGCGGAAATTGTAGGCGGCGAATTGGTTGCTCTGGCGCAATAACGATCGGTACTATTCGCATGACGGATTAGCTGTTGCTCGTTCCACCATGATACAGCCGCGCATCACTCAGTGATGGATCGCCTTGCCGTTCCAGAGCTCACTGTGAACGATGCAGGTGCAAAGCAGCAGTGCCGTATGGCGGCTGCGTCAACGCGGGGGTGGCTGCAGAGCCATCACTGCGCGCATACGTACAAGCGAGCGCACTTGGTAGGCCATGTTGCCTTTCGTTGCCTGTGCTAACGACATGGTTCTTGAGTGTGAGGAGCAGGGCACAGGTGTGGATGTTGCGCCTGTGTGACGAAAGTCGCTGGTTAGGTCATAGGTTTTGAGCGCACGTCGGAGCAAAGCCACAACGCCGCAAAAGTCCGAGCTGTGGTGCAGCTCGACCAGCCCACATCCGACAGCAACACCGCACTGAGGCATGGGGCAAGTTTACGTTTTTACGTTTGTGACGCGAGCAGACTTCATGTATTCTCATTAGACCGTCACAGCTGCAGTGCTTTTATTCAGGCTATCAGGCCAACGCTGTTTTACACAAAAGCCCTTTGCAATCTCTCTCGGCACCCAAACAGGCTGCACGCATGTGCCAGTACCTACCAAACGCCATCCAATGCACATGACTGAATTTTTACAATAGCAGTGGTATCTAGAAAAGAAAGGGCAGACCTACACATGCATGTACTTTACTGGCGATGCTTTTCCTGTATCCTTCGGAGCTGTTCCTGCACGTTCATGCTCTGCATCTGCGAGAGGCGGGCAGCATCCTTTGCGGGGTCTGGCTGTCCGTCATACGACATGGCAGCCTTCTTCCTCCGAGCCTCTTCTTCTGCAGATATAGGCTGCCCAGTGGCGCCGTCATATATGTCCTCCCGCTGGCTAGCAAAACGCTTGAGGTTATTTGCAACATCAGCGGTGTTGATCGTGGTAGAGTATCGAGCTTCGGCTTTGTCGCGTTGTTCTTTCCAGCGCGGATCAAGCAATTCAACTAGAACAAAACGTTAGCACATGTTATCCTTGATGCCAAAGATTGGGTAATTCTCACTTCGAATATGCTCCTCCATCTGATTAGAAGGGATTTGCTGCTTGCAGTTAGGGCACACGGCCATTGGTACGTTTGCCTTCTTTGCGGCAGCGCGGGGAACGTAGTCTGTGACGATGCGACCAGGCGCTCCTCTGGCAGCAGCCTGAGCACGTGCGCGCTGCTCGCTCTCTGCCTGGCGTTCCTTGGCCAGCCGAGCCTGCTCCTCCTCGCGCGAAATCTGCGCCGGTGTTCGGTAATCGGCCATGGGAGGAGGTGCGTATGGCGACGCGCCGTATGGCGAGTGTACAGGCGGTGCAGTTGGAGGGTAGTTGGGCTGCATCGGGGGCGGCGGAACCTGTTGTTGAGTGACATTGTAGTAGGCAACGTCGTCAGGCATGGCTTCTTCCAAACGACGTGTCGATAGCGAAACGGCGGCTTTCTGTTCAAGAGACTGTGACTGTAGATCATTCAGCTGGGCAGGTGGGGGAAGATCTGCAGCATCATCGGCCTCGTCAAATATCACCGTCGCAATGACACTAAAGTCATGCCAGTCGATGGTTGCATACTCTTGCTTCTCGGCTTCTACCTTCTTCTCTTCCTTCTCCTTCTGCGCAGTCACGTACTTGACATACTCAGCGCGGCTCTTTGCACGGTCCAGCACATGGAAACGGTTCTTGATGTTGTGCTGCAGCTCCTGGATACGCGCCTCGACTGTCGCCTCCTCCTCGAGCAGGATCTTGTATTGCTCGACAAGCGATCGGAAGAACTGGAAATAGCTGTGATTTGGTCTGAGAAAATCAAACTGGTAATTGCCCAACTCACGGTTGCGCAAGTCCTTGAGCCAGTTCTCACCCACACGCGCAGTGTACAAAGCAGTGAGTTTGAGCACCTCGAGATCTTTGGCGTTGATGTTTGGCATGCGCGCCGAGAAGCGGAATTTGGGCGGCTCGGGCGGGCCTTTGGGTTTGGTGTCGACGGCTTGCTTAGCGTTCCTGTCGGATGAGCGCCCATGGCCCTCCTTGAGCTGCTGCAGATACCACAGGAAATAGGCATTGTAGGGGTCGTCTTCTAAGACGAAGGCGAAACTGTTCTTCGATGACGAGTCGGCGGTAAGACGCTGCTTCATTGCCATGAGTTGTTGTTCGCCTCGGCGGGCAATGAAGTCGGCCGTCTTGGCTACGGCAGCGCGAACGCTCGAGGGAGGAATGACCATGTTTGGCGGGGGCTTCACATCGAGCTCGATGGAGCTGGCGGGCGCGGCGTCGCCGTTGGTGTTGGCCATGGCGGGATATGGTGTCTGCGACTCGATTACGAGGGGTGTTGTCGGCAAAGCACTGTGAATGAGTCGCGAAGAAGATGGTGCAAAGGCAACGACAGAACGCGTGGTGTGGCGACACCGGCGAAGAGACAGACGGCGATTACCTACGTACCACTGGCTTGCGCGCAACGCGTATGGATACTGCGGGGGGGTCGAGTAACGGCGGTGCAGGTTCGCGCGGCGGCAGAGTCGCAAAGTTCCTGGATAGTATGGAGGCTGCTGCCCGGATTAACTGGTTGTTCCGGGCCGGCCTTAGTCACGCGTTAGCCAACACCGGCAAGGTTGAGGCACTCGGCGTAAGACTCGACGCGTCTTGGGTCGTAGGCGGCTGTCAAAAAGTTTAGCACCGATCAATGATCAAAAACAACGATGGCTCCCGAGCGGGCGCAGCACCAAATCTAGATACGAGAAAGAATAATAATGCAAGACCGAGAACGCGTCTCGACCTATTTTCAGCCCACCCGTTCCCAATTGGGCAAGGCCCCGTAGTTACGAACAGCTTGCAACAAGGGTCGGGTTGGTACGAGGCACTACTCCTCGCGGGTCCCTCCACCCCCCTGGCTCGAATCATCGCAACTCCAATTGCGGCACCCACCATTCTCCCTTACCCTGATGGGACTTTCTTCGCACTTTCTTTAATTCTTCTTTTCTTCTTCCAACCACGAGGCCCTAGTGCCTACCATCTACACTACCCGCCGAGGCTCTACAAGGCCCTCCATCCTTTGGCGCACCCTCGCCCACTAGCTGATTGAGCCACGCAGCATCTACCCAGTTCGCTGGCCATGGCGAGCCTGTCGGCATCTGGCGCCTATCTGGGCGAGAAACCTTCTCCACGGTCGAGTCGATCAAAGTCGCGCTCACGTTCGCGGGACGGTCGGAAACAGCAGCAGTCGCAGCAGAAAGTTCGAAGCTACGCCTCCGAGGGGGTGAAGGACTATGATATCTTCAACCTCCCAGGCTCGGACTGGTCGCTGCTGGCCATCCTGACCGTCATCGCGTGCGGTGTGCGGCTCTTTAGGATCCAGCAGCCGACCAGCGTCGTCTTCGACGAAGTCCAGTAAGTGGTTCATCTTGACAGGACGCTCATGAGCATGCGCTGACTAGGTGGCTTCTAGTTTTGGTGGGTTCGCCTCGAAATACATCAAGGGTAGGTTCTTCATGGATGTCCACCCTCCGCTCGCGAAGCTACTCATTACACTGGCGGGATGGCTGGGTGGATTCGACGGAGACTTTGACTTCAAAGACATTGGCAAGGACTATCTGGAGCCCAAGGTTCCATACGTCACTATGCGCATGTTGCCCGCCATCTGCGGTGTCTTGACGATTCCAACCATGTTCCTCACTCTCAAGGCTTCTGGGTGTCGTACCACGACGGCAGCATTGGGTGCAGGTCTCGTCATTTTCGGTGAGAAATGGACACTCATATCTGCTTCAGTGCGCGCTGACTTTTTTTCCAAGACAACGCCCTCGTTACTCAATCCCGCCTTATCCTACTCGACTCGCCCCTCATCATTTTCACGGCCCTCACAGCACTCGCATGGACCAGCTTCATGAACCAACACGAACAAGGACCCGCCAAGGCATTCAAGCCATCCTGGTGGTTCTGGCTAGCGACTACAGGTGTCGGGCTTGGCGCAACTGCCAGTGTCAAGTGGGTTGGCCTGTTCACCATTGCTTGGGTCGGCACTTTAACACTGGTCCAACTGTGGGTTCTGCTCGGTGACACCAAGAATGTGACGCCCAGGCTGTGGTTCAAGCACTTCTTCGCTCGCTTGTTCTGCCTGGTTGTGATCCCTGTCTCGTTCTACATGGCCATGTTCGGAATCCACTTCATCTGCCTGGTCAACCCTGGTGAGGGTGACGGCTTCATGTCCTCCGAGTTCCAGGCGACATTAAACTCCAAGGCTATGCAAGATGTGCCGGCAGATGTCGCATACGGAAGCCGCGTGTCCCTGCGACACTGGAACACGCAGGGTGGCTACCTTCATTCGCACAGCCACATGTACCCGACCGGAAGCAAGCAGCAGCAGATTACTCTGTACCCGCACAAGGACGAGAACAATGTGTGGATCATGGAGAACCAGACTTTGCCGATCATGCCAGAAGACTACACTGGACCCAACCTGACTAGCCCGAAAGCGTGGGATGAGCTGGGTCCCGTCTACATCGAAAACGGTGCCATCATCCGCCTCTACCACATCACAACCGACCGCCGTCTTCACTCTCACGATGTCCGCCCGCCAATCACGGAAGCAGACTGGCAGAACGAAGTGTCTGCATACGGATACCAAGGATTCGACGGTGATGCGAACGATCTTTTCCGTGTCGAGATTGTCGCCAGCAAGTCGGATGGAGCCGTGGCTAAGAAGCGTCTTCGCACGATCCAGACCAAGTTCCGACTGGTGCACGTTATGACTGGATGTGCGCTTTTCTCTCACAAGGTCAAGCTACCTGAGTGGGGTTTTGAGCAGCAAGAAGTTACATGTGCCAAGCAAGGCACGCTGCCCAACAGCATCTGGTACATTGAGGGCAACGTGCATCCGCTCATGGTGGATGGCGAGGTGGAAAAGGTCAACTACCGCAACCCGGGCTTCTTTGGAAAATTCTGGGAGCTGCAGAAGGTCATGTGGAAGACAAACGCCGGGCTGACCGAGTCGCACGCCTGGGACTCGCGTCCTCCGTCGTGGCCCATTCTCCGCCGCGGTATCAACTTCTGGGGCAAGCACAGCCGCCAAATCTACCTGTTGGGCAACCCGGTGATTTGGTGGACGTCGTCGGCGCTCATTGGCCTGTACGTGGTTATCAAGGGCATTGCTATTCTCCGATGGCAGCGTGGCTACAGCGATTACAACAACGTTGTGTTCAAGCGCTTCGACTACGAGGTGGGCATGAGCATTCTCGGATGGGCGTTCCACTACTTCCCCTTCTACCTGATGGCACGCCAGCTGTTCCTGCACCACTACCTTCCGGCGCTGTATTTTGCGATTCTTGCGCTTTGCCAGATGTTTGACTTTGTGAGCTACCGGTTCAGTGTGTTTGGACTGAGGCAATACCCAGCCATTGGCCAAGCCGTGGCTGTGGGCTTCCTGGCTGTTGCCATCATGGTGTTTTCGCTGTTTGCGCCGCTTGCCTATGGCAATGCGTGGACCAAGGACGCATGCAACAGTGTCAAGCTCTTCAACACTTGGGACTGGGACTGCAACAACTTTCTCCCCTCTGTAAGCATATCTGACGATGCACGATGATCTCATCTGACACGATGCAGTACGAAGCATACCACAGCCAGGGCGAAGCGGCAGTGTCAGCTGTGGAGCCGTCGTCAGCGCCGGCTGCACCGGCGGTGGCGGACATGAAGGCTGAGCAGGCTGAGGCGGCGCAAGTGCCGCTGCAGCAAGAGGCCGAGGTGGGCAAGCCGGATGACGTCATGTCGGAGGGGGCGATCGTTTCCCCACCGCCTGTCGAGGCTCCGCAAGAATTGCCTATTGTCTCCAAGGAAGAGCGGATCGAGTATCGCGACGAGAATGGGCGGGTGCTTGGTGACGACGAGGTCAAAGCGCTTGCGGGCAAAGTCAGCTTCAAGACGCGCTACGAGACGAGGACGCGTGTGATTGACAAAGAGGGCAACGAGGTGTACGAGGGCTTGGTGGAGGCGCATGGCGATGCCGAAGAGGCTGGGGTTGCGCCGCCTCACCCTGACGCCGAGGGCCGAAACCCAGAGACTCAGGACATGGCGGCAGCGGGGCATCAGGCTAGCGACGCGCCACCGACTGTGGAAGCGGTGCAGGATCATGCAGAGGCAGCTCAGCCTGCGAGCGAGGCCAAAGGGGCAACTCAGGCAGCCGAGTAAGGGGATTGGATTCTTGTGTGGTTGGTTGGCACGTTTGCGGCCAGGGTGTTTCTCTTGGCTTTTTCTTTACTACTATGCGTAGGGAGGGGACATGGAGTAGCAGCGTGTGGAGCTGGCGGCGCTAGGGCTGGGATTGCACACCCACACACCCACACACATACATACACAGGTTACGAGGGATGGGTGTAGGGTGCATTTGTACAACTATCTAATATGTGATTTGAAAAGGCAATTGTGCTGAATGAAGGTGTGCTGTGTAGTGCAGTTGTGAGGTGGGGGTGAGCAAGTAGTCGGGACTTGAGGCGAGGGAGTATAGTGATTCGGAGATGCAAAGATGATCGGCAGCAGTCTTTACGTGTGCGCATGACGAGATTGCATGTGCATGTGCATGCGTCCAGGGTCGAACCAAGGGTCGAACCAAGGGTCGTCGGGGGGTAAGGGAAGGGGCCGGGTCATGTGACGAGGTGTACTGGCACTGGCACTGGCACCAGGCACCAATGCATTAGCAAACTATAACTGTGCAGCCTGGCAGCTTTGTGTCCCTTCAAGTGCCGGCCCCCAAGCCGTCGTCGCCAGAGCCGGTGACGCTGGACGGGACACGACCTGCCGTCGCCATATACTACTTACTAGTAGCGGCGTCTGCGGCGGCACTCACGATAACGAGTGCTACTATACATGCGCTAACATGGACGAGTTGCACGTCATTACTTGTTGAGGCTGGAAAGCAAAAGCGCCTCAGCCTCGTGAACGACATCAACCCACACCCACGTCGCCCGCCCGCTCACGCGATCACATGCAACCCACACACGTCGACACGCACACGCACACGCACATATCCACGCCATGCCGGGCCGCAATCAGCGGGCGTTGGGCAACGATGCAGGGTCCGATTGCGCCTCTCTTGCTGCCAGACAGACTCGATACGCACACATACATACTACATACATACATGCACGCCAGCTCCAGCCCACGCCTCCAGAGTCTGGCCGTCCGACGCCACACAGAGCGCCAATCAGCTTGCACGCCGTTGGGGCGTGGAGGCCCAGAAGCACACGCACACGCACACGCACACGCACAACGGGACCTTCGGAAGGGCTCAGGGCGATCTTGCTACTGCAGCAGCAGCAGCACGACTCCGTGCCGGCACCGTCATCTTGATGCTGGCCGATCACTGCCATTCGGTCGGGGAAGTAGCGCCGCCGCCCGCAACACTCTCGCAACTCATGCTCGCAGAGATACCCGTCCCTGCCATCATCTGCCAATGGCTGCGTCAGGGCAAGATTGCGCCGTGCGATCTGCCCGTGTAATCGGCGCGAAACACGCACATGGCCATGGAGAACAAAAAGAATCCTCGAGAACCTTCTCTCCAATCCCGGCGTCCCCTTGCCCTCAAAACCGGGCTGCGCACCTCGGTGGCGGGATGCGCCAAAAAAAAAACGGAAACTTGTCGCGAGAGAGACCGTGGTCGTCATGGTGGTGCGAGCAGCCGCACCGAAAGTTACACCACAGCCATGGCAAACACGTCCGCTTAGAAATGCAGAACGCTCCTGTCGCTGCTCTTATTTTCTCCTTGCTTCCCTCACGCCTTCGTCTTCTCTTCTTCACCGTCGCCGCTCCGCGGAGCACGAAAGAGCCCCAAAGGATCCAGAAGCAAGAAACTGCGTCCGACTATAAATTAAACAATGCGGTCTAGCCGCGCATCAAAGATTTTCAAAAGCCCCTCCCCGGTTTGTGCAAAATCCCATGTGCACAACATCGTGAATTTCGCAATTGCCCAACCCACGCACCCACCCTCTTCGCCTCGAGCGCGCCGCCGCTGCTGCTGTCGCCTTTGAGCATGCAGACTGCCTCTTTGGGCCTTTTTCCTGCCTCGCGAGCAAGCATATATTCATCCTCGTTCTTTGGTCCATTTTCCTCCCATCGCTCTTTTTTCCCCTCCTCGCTCGCACTTGTTCCTGCACTATCTATCGACCCCCCATTCCACCCTAGCCGCATCCGAACATCAACCAACACCGGCAATGGTGCCCAACACACGTCAAATGTCAAGCTCTGCATCCGAGGGCAGCAGCAGCAGCCACTATTGCCCACACTGCAAAGACGGTCCAACGCCCACTCCTCACACGCACAACACGGGCGACTCGTACATCCAGCAAAGCATCGAGACACCACCCCCGCTCTCGACCAGAGCCCCCACGACAATCATGAACTCGTCCCCGTCAGGCCCGCACATCGTCTACATTGTTACCGACACGTGCTACCCGACAGCCCACAGTTTCGAGGCCAACATTGGCAATACGCACATAATTTCCGTGCACTCGACAAAGGCTGCTGCCAACAGCCGTGCCAAGAAGATCATCTACGACAACGACAGTGGATGCACCGTTGACATTGACAAGATTATCGAGGAGGTGAAGCAAGGTCTTTACATTGGCATCGGCGTCGGTGGCAAGGAGGAAAAGGACGGATGTTGTTTTGCCAGGAAGTGCGAAGTCGAAGGCAAGATTGTCGACGAGGACAGCGACAGCGAAGAGACGAGCGGCGAGAGTGGAGACAGCGACTTGATAGATGCCAATGGTGATGGAGACGGTGACTTGGACGTTGACATGGGGTGATGGACACAGAGACGGAAAAGACGAGAGTATCAAAGAGCAGTCTTGCCCGGGCACTTGAAGTTGTAAGAGGGTGGAAGACGGCGCATGTTTCGAGAAACACGGTGCGGAGCCAGAGACTGAAGACTGGAACTTGTGCATACTACATAAGCCGTACCCACGCACCAGGAACCAGGCCGCCCCCAAGGAAGAAGAAACCCCACCCCAACCTGCCCAAGGCGTTGGCTAACGCTGAGAGCGATGCGGCTGACGGTCCTTTCCAGAAATCAATCTTGATGGCCAGGACCGACAGCAACACGAGTGCACGAGAAACAGCTGGGTTTGTGCTGCTACACTGCACTATCGCCACGTATCGCAGTCTGACGCCGACGCGAAAACAAAACGAAAACAGGAAAATGTTCAATCATCCATTCGACGCAAAGAGCGCTCAAGCGCCCGCTTTAGGCCATTCGTTTGTTTGATACCCCCCTACGGCTTCCGCACGAGACTGAATTTCGATGAGCTCTACTCGGCGGTTCCAAGAAAGAAAAAGAAAAAAAGACATGAGTGATAAGAAACGATGTGGATGCTGGAGAGACGAGACAAGACAAGACAAGACAAGACAAGACAAGGCTAGGGCGGGGCGCGTGGTCAAGCGCCAACGGTAATGACGAACTGGCATGGATTGAACCGTGATGTTAATGTACCGTAGTCTTATTTCTGCTACTTCGGCAACGTGCCTAGCAAGCACACACTCTCTGCTCTCCAAGTTTTCAGACGAAAAAACAAAACAGATTTCTACTCATCTGGGTTTGTATTGCAAAAGCACAAAATCGTTACTGTTTCTTCCTTCCTACTATTGAGTACCAATATCCTGACCAGTGTATTACTAGGTTTCCAGTCTCAGACAGGTAGGTCTCCAAGAGGAATCCAGGCCCTTGTGTATGTTTCATTCTGGCCGAACTGGAATCGTTCTTGACGGGTGAAATGTTCTACATGGCACTGTGTGATGATAGTGATCAGTGCTAGAAGCCTAGGCGGATGTATAGGTGGTAGTCCGACGTGGATACCAGTACCTAAAAACCGATGAGTGTCGAGTCGTTTGTGATTGCACCACTAGAACTATGCAACAACCATCCAATGAGCCTCTCTTAGACGTACTCTATTAGGAACTAATATAATGTCTAGTCGTGAGCACGTAACGTCTACTTGTTACATCACCATGCTGAGTTTCTGCTGTAAATAATCCAGTGAATGATGGGTAGAGATGGTATCTCTACAATAACCACGAATCATGGTGGAACAGAAAAGCAGAACTCACACGCCAAGTTTGGTATACATGACGGCTGTGGCTTGTGCTGTGGCTACGTAGTGGGCTCCAAAGCTCAGCGCGCGTGGTCGTCGTAGCTCAGGGTTCAACTCGGTCCAGGCCCCCGACCCTTCTCCGCCCAGTCGCTTCCACTTCCACTTCCCCACCTTCTCAGCCTTCCGTGGGGGAGGCGACGCACGTCATCGATCGTGGCAACCAGGCCTTCACTACTCAACGCCTCCTTCTCGCCATCATGTGGCATACAGCATCCAGCCACTTGCACCATGTCCGCGGGATACTTTCCAAAGCGCGAAAAGGTCGGGCTTGAGGATCTCTTCAGAGGCCTCGTTACCGCCTGCCATATCCTCGAGCACAATGGTGTCGTTGACGCCTACGGCCACATTTCTGTGCGCTCCCCTGACAACCCCGCCACCTTCTGGATGCCGTGCAACATGCCGCCCGCGCTCGTCAGCTCGCCAGACCATCTCGTCGAGTACAAGGTCGACGGCGCCGAGGCAGTCGAGAAGGATGCAAAGCCTGGCTACCTGGAGCGATATATCCACAGTGAAATCTACAAGCGCTTTCCAGCCATCAACAGCGTAATGCACAGCCATGCGAGCGATGTGCTTCCGTATTGTATCAGCGGGGTCCCGTTCAAAGCCACGATACACATGGCTGGCTTCCTAGGTACCATACCCGATGCTGAGAAACTGTTCCTGTCAGAATGCTGATATGTGTAATGACAGGCACAAAGGTTCCGGTCTGGAACGCCGCGAACAGTTACCCCTCTGGCGCCAAACACGACCTGCTCGTCCGCGATACCACGCTCGGTGCTTCTCTCGCTGCATCCTTGAAGCCCGCGACTTCAACCGGCTTCATCTACTCCAAAGTCCGCTCGGCGCTGCCGGCGCAGCTCGGGGGCGGAGCGTCTGCCGAGCCAAAGCTAGAGCCAGATCATGCCGTCGTTCTGCTCCAGAACCATGGCTTCGTGACGGTTGCGCATGGCATCGAGGAGGCCGTATACCAGGCGATATATACGAGGGAGGCAGCCAAGGCGCAGACGGCAGCCATGACGCTTTTGAATGCCCACACGGGGTACGCCCTCGAGGGCAAGGTTGACACTGAGGCCGGGGGAAAGATTAAATCAGGCCATGCTAAGATTGAAGGCGGAAGCTTAAATTACTTGACTGACAAGGAGTGCCATGATGCATGGGAGAGCATGTCAAATACAATGACGCGAGCTTGGGCACTATGGTGCCGCCAGGTCGAGGTCAATCCGCTTTACAAGAACGAGTGTCCCGAGGGCGAGGATTAAGCCGCTGTCACGAACACCGTAAGCTAGCACGCCATGCGGGCCGTTTATTACCTATGCTCTTCTACTTATCATTGTACAACTAGTACTATCTTTCCAACAGATGCTTCGCCCTATCGTCGATGTACTAGCCACACATGTAGTACAGCCTCGGGCTGAAATACGAGCATAATTCTCCTTTCCAACTAGTTTTTACGAAACAAGACCGCTTCTTTCCTCTCCACCCACCCTTGAAACATTGTGAAACATTTTTCCCCGTCTAGCCCTTTAATCACTCTTCTTCTTCTCTCTCGCGTTTAGAAGAAGCATAACGTGGTTCATAAGTGAGTCGCTAACCCAAGTGAGTCGCTAACGCCCCACCACTACATCTATATCAACACGTTATTATAGTTTTTTATTATAGTTAATAAACTATTATAATACACTAAATTAATTATTAAAATCGCTACTATTACTTACACTATCTATCTTAACTACGTAGGTACAAGCGTTGTGTCTAGTCTGCTTATAACGCCCGCACCACCACTCTTCTCGCACCCTCTTTAACGCACTCTTACTATTACTATAACTACTATCTACCTATTTAGCTAATACTTCTTATACTTTGCCTATAGTAAGAGTCTCTTCTATTTATACATATCGCCGCTTATAGCTTTTACGCTTATTTAACTTATTAAGAGCTACTTAAAGCGTACTTATTTCCTTTTTTATAAGCGTTATTTTATATGCTATTTACTAGGCCCTCTTACTTAGCTACGCGATCTACTTAGTAAGTAAATTAGTAGAAGACCTATAGCGTTTTCTTACGCTCTCTTAAATAAGACTAATTTAAGACTTAACTTTACGCGTATTGCGTAGTGTCTGCGCCTACTAGGTAGCTACCTATTATAGTAATTGTATAGGTGTCTGCACTACTATATTAAGCTTAGATAGCACAGCCTATAGGTTGTGTAGGACTAGACTAGCGCCTTTAAAGCTAGTCTAAATATTCTCCTTTGTAATAAACTGCTTGAAAGTAGTTTTAAAGGCTAGTAGAAAGGTCTGTTTACTAATATAGTAGGTGTAGTTACGTGCTAAGCCTAAAATAGCGTTGCTATACTTACGCTTTAATAGTAAGAAGTAGGCAACGTTAAGAGGCTATAATAAGTAAGACAAGTGCGTAGGTATATAAAGAAGTATAATATTCTTCTCCTCATAAAGATCTTAAAAATTAATAAAGTAGTAGCTCTTATAGCTATTAATAATAAGTAGTTGATACCTACCTATAGTAGAGCTCTTTATATAGGTATTAAAGTGCTTTAACTAAGCAAGACTAAGCTAATGATTTATCTAGCTATTAGGACTAACTTTAAAAACCCAGTTAGTAGGTAATGTAACGGGTCGAGTCCTATTAGACTGCGCACGCAACTACAACGCGCCCACCGCGCCAAAAAGGCTGGCACAAGATATCAGAGCTGCTGATATCGTTGCGTAGTTGATACATAAGATAGCCACCGCTATCTGTACTGTAGCGGGCTACCTAGCCCGTTACAGGTAAATTCTTAAACTAAACGTTAATAAGCACCTTATGTAACGGCGCAGGTAAGGCAGGTCGGATCTGTTTCGGTCGTAGGATCACTCAGAGGCATATGGGAGTGCGTGGGATCACAAAGAGCCTAGATTCAACAAGCCACCTATAGGCCTTGTACGAAAGGATATCAAAAGTCTACAGAGCTAGCTACAGGGAGTGTCTCAATATATACCTATCCTAGTCGGGTCCGAATTCGGATCCGACCTCGGGCGAATGGCTGATGAAGGGCGGCAGGTACTTCCTCCGATCCGGCTCTGGGATTGGCTCAATACTTGGCGAAGTTGTAACATCGTTACACCTTACCTATAAAGATAATAAAGGGTAGTATTTAGTAACCTAACGCGCTTACGCCTTAGATTATAGTAACTTACTTATAGTTGCTTAGCTATATCTACTTCTTTTTCTTATATCCTTTTAATACTATAATAACTAACTATAATAAAATCTTACTTATTATAAAGCTAGTCTTATTAAAGTTATGGATATTATTATCTATAATACCCTACTTCTACCTTATTACCTAGACTAAGTTAAACTAGCGCTAAATAGCTACTAGATTCTTATAGGCGGCTTGTGTAACGGGTCGAGTCCTATTAGACTGCGCACGCAACTACAACGCGCCCACCGCGCCAAAAAGGCTGGCACAAGATATCAGAGCTGCTGATATCGTTGCGTAGTTGATACATAAGATAGCCACCGCTATCTGTACTGTAGCGGGCTACCTAGCCCGTTACAGCTTGCTAGTAATTATAAAAATAGCTCTAGCGTGTATAGAGCTTAGAAGTCTACTTAATAAAGTTATTAATCTAGTTCTTACTAATAAAGTTACTACTACGCTCTTCTAATAGTTTATTAGCTATTACTTAAATATTAAGCTTTATAGTCGTAAATTCTTACGTAGACTCTTTAAAAACATGCTTAACTATAGCCTTCTTTTTTAGCTTATCTAGACGCTTTAATTTTAGCTTATAGTTGCGTTAAAAGCGCTTTCTAGCGCGTTAATTAGATATAGTTTTTTATAAGACGTTGTAGATAGTAGTAGTATAGTTTATACGCTAAATATATTATAACTAAACGTTAAAAAGAGTAAGTTAAAGATTAGATTGAAAATATATTGATAAATAGTTATGTTGTTAAGACATTACGCGTTATAGTGATAAAGTTGATAGGCTAGTGGGGCGTTAGCGACTTGCTTGGGTTAGCGACTCACTTGTGAACCACGTTAGCGCATATTATATCATATTATTATTTCCCCAGCGGATAAATACACCCCCTACCCTGCCCTGTTCCCCCCTAGTCATCCACACCGCCACACTGTCTGGAAGAAAAGAAGAAAAAAAAAGGAAGAAAAAAAGGGAAAAAGAAAAAAAAGAGATTATGGCCACATGGCATGATGGCATGATGTCCATGTGAAGAAAATCAAGCTCTTGCCAAGCACTAGGCCTGGTTTAAGTTTCTATCGCTTATTTTCTTTTCCTTTTTTTTTTTTTTACTTCTTACTGTAAGGGGCTCGACCCCGGAGGGTAGTCTTAAGCTCGGGAGCACGATCGGACAGGCCAAGGTAACAGATTGTATTCGATAGAGAGCTAAGCTCTCGGCTACGTAGCTATCTATATACAATGCTGGTTGCTAGGGTAACAATCGGGCCGGGCAGGTGGAGTAAACGAGGTCGTAGACGAGTATGGGAGGCGAAGGGC